GCTCAATTGTGGAACAGAAAAGGGCCCTAAGCATTGTGTCAATTTCAGTTGCTTAAATCTTCAACCTCTCCTAATATTCGGCATTTGGTCTTGATTTACTTATGTTCAAACTGAAATCGTGCTGTTTAGAGACAATGCTACAAAATGCAATATCTTTAAGGCAATCCTCTAATAATAATTGTATTTTTATAAAGATTTGGATTTCTACAGCTCAATTGTGAAGCAGAAGGAGGCCCTAAGCATTCTGTCAATTTCAGTTGCTTAAATCTTCAACCTCTCCTAATATTCAGCATTTGGTCTTGATTTACTTATGTTCAAACTGAAATCGTGCTGTTTAGAGACAATGCTACAAAATGCAATATCTTTAAGGCAATCCTCAAATAATCCCTGTATTTTTATAAAGATTTTGATTTCTACAGCTCAGTTGTGAGAAAGAAGGAGGCCCTAAACATTCTGTCAATTTCAGTTACTTAAATCTTCAACTTCTCCTGATATTCGGCATTTGGTCTTGATTTACTTATGTTCAAACTGAAATCATGCTGTTTCGAGACAATGCTACAAAATGCAATATCTTTAAGGCAATACTCAAATAATAATTGTATTTTTATGAAGAATTTTGATTTCTACAGCTCAATTGTGAAAGAGAAGGAGGCCCTAAGCATTCTGTCAATTTCAGTTGCTGAAATCTTCAACTTCTCCTAATCTTCAACATTTGATCTTGATTTATCTATGTTCAAACTAAAATCGTGCTGTTTAGAGACAATGATACAAAATGCAATATCTTTAAGGCAATCCTCAAATAATCACTGTATTTTTATGAAGATTTTGATTTCTACAGCTCAATTGTGAAAGAGAAGGAGGCCCTAAGCATTCTGTCAATTTCAGTTGCTGAAATCTTCAACTTCTCCTAATCTTCAACATTTGATCTTGATTTATCTATGTTCAAACTAAAATCGTTGTGTTTAGAGACAATGCTATGAAATGCAATATCTTTAAGGCAATCCTCTAATAATAATTGTATTTTTATAAAGATTTGGATTTCTACAGCTCAATTGTGAAGCAGAAGGAGGCCCTAAGCATTCTGTCAATTTCAGTTGCTTAAATCTTCAACCTCTCCTAATATTCAGCATTTGGTCTTGATTTACTTATGTTCAAACTGAAATCGTGCTGTTTAGAGACAATGCTACAAAATGCAATTTCTTCAAGGCAATCCTCAAATAATAACTGTATTTTTATGAAGATTTTGATTTCTAGAGCTCAATTGTGAAACAGAAGAAGGCCCTAAGCATTCTTTCAATTTCAGTTGCTTAAATCTTCAACTTCTCCTAATATTCGGCATTTGGTCTTGATTTACTTATGTTCAAACTGAAATCGTGCTGTTTAGAGACAATGCTACAAAATGCAATATCTTTAAGACAATCCTGAAATAATAACTGTATTTTTATGAAGATTTTGATTTCTAGAGCTCAATTGTGAAACAGAAGAAGGCCCTAAGCATTCTTTCAATTTCAGTTGCTTAAATCTTCAACTTCTCCTAATATTCGGCATTTGGTCTTGATTTACTTATGTTCAAACTGAAATCGTGCTGTTTAGAGACAATGCTACAAAATGCAATATCTTTAAGGCAATCCTCAAATAATCCCTGTATTTTTATAAAGATTTTGCTTTCTACAGCTCAATTGTGAAACAGAAGGGGTCCCTAAGCATTCTGTCAATTTCAGTTGCTGAAATCTTCAACTTCTCCTAATATTCGGCATTTGGTCTTGATTTACTTATGTTCAAACTGAAATCATGCTGTTTCGAGACAATGCTGCAAAATGCAATATCTTTAAGGCAATACTCAAATAATAATTGTATTTTTATGAAGAATTTTGATTTCTACAGCTCAATTGTGAAAGAGAAGGAGGCCCTAAGCATTCTGTCAATTTCAGTTGCTGAAATCTTCAACTTCTCCTAATCTTCAACATTTGATCTTGATTTATCTATGTTCAAACTAAAATCGTTGTGTTTAGAGACAATGCTATGAAATGCAATATCTTTAAGACAATTCTGAAATGATAACTGTATTTTTATGAAGATTTTGATTTCTTCAATTCAAGTGTGAAACAGAAGAAGTCCCCAAACACTCTGTCAATTTCAGTTGCTTAAATCTTCAACTTCTCCTAATATTCGGCATTTGGTCTTGATTTACTTATGTTCAAACTGAAATCGTGCTGTTTCGAGACAATGCTACAAAATGCAATATCTTTAAGGCAATCCTCAAATAATCACTGTATTTTTATAAAGATTTTGATTTCTACAGCTCAATTGCGAGAAAGAAGGAGGCCCTAAACATTCTGTCAATTTCAGTTACTTAAATCTTCAACTTCTCCTAATATTCGGCATTTGGTCTTGATTTACTTATGTTCAAACTGAAATCGTGCTGTTTCGAGACAATGCTACAAAATGCAATATCTTTAAGGCAATCCTCAAATAATCACTGTATTTTTATGAAGATTTTGATTTCTACAGCTCAAGTGTGAAACAGAAGGGGTCCCTAAGCATTCTGTCAATTTCAGTTGCTTAAATCTTCTACTTCTTTCTAATATTCGGAATTTGGTCTTGATTTACTTATGTTCAAACTGAAATCGTGCTGTTTAGAGACAATGCTACAAAATGCAATTTCTTCAAGGCAATCCTGAAATAATAACTGTATTTTTATGAAGATTTTGATTTCTTCAGCTCAATTGTGAAACAGAAGGAGGCCTTAAGCATTCTGTCAATTTCAGTTGCTTAAATCTTCTACTTCTTTCTAATATTCGGAATTTGGTCTTGATTTACTTATGTTCAAACTGAAATCGTGCTGTTTAGAGACAATGCTACAAAATGCAATATCTTTAAGGCAATCCTCAAATAATAATTAGAGCTCAATTGTGAAACAGAAGGAGGCCCTAAGCATTCTGTCAATTTCAGTTACTTAAATCTTCAACTTCTCCTAATATTCGGAATTTGGTCTTGATTTA